TACAAATCAGAGTTCCGTGATTTTCTTATATGAAACTCACTTTTCATCATAGACTAATATACTATCTTTAGTTTATGTAAGTAAAATCTATGTATTTAGATAAAGACTTAAGTATCACATATACTGAATCATTTGTTAACAAACCTTCAATATATAGTAATATGTGCTATTTACAAAAACACCTTAGTTTATAAAATGATGACTTACAGTCCAAGGTAATAATACCTGTAATATATACTAGTTCTAGTATTAGTCAAATATAATAAACGAAACATATGAGGCATTCTCCAAAGTAATCAAAGTGTCTTTATTTCACTTTTTATAAATACATCATGTTTACTGTCTATCATTACAGGATAAACTCAGCAAGCAAAACAAACTGTATGTTCACTATACATTAACTCTGACAATGAAGAACGGATTTTGTATGTCACTGAACTTAACAGTCAGCAAAAGGAAATTAACTTTTCATGCACTTTACATGAGGATATAGAAAGCTGAATGTACATTCATGAAATTTTCAGTAGCTGATGGTACATTAGGAAATTATGCTTTGCTTCTAAGTTACTACTTTCTGTTTTCGATCTAGAAACGTATTTGTCATTTAAATATAACTTTACAGATATAACTTACCAAGATCTATACATAGTCTAACTTCTTGATGGCGTGTTTGTTACATGTAAAGAAATAACAGTGTTGTCCATCATCTTACAGTTTGGGCTATGTTTTTCAGATTTCTCTAAGGGGTAAATTCCTCTCACAAGTTGACAGCTCGATAGCATTTGATATATACAAATAACACAAACTGAAAAATGTATGAATTACAAATACTGGATTACCAAAATTAAATTACCCTTCATATAACTATGACTTTTGTTCTTTGTTCATTAGTCACATGACCACTACTTGAGAAACACTCTTTTCACTATCATAAAATTAAAACAAAAACTAATATGTTTCATCTGTGTAGCGCCCTCTAGCAGCGTCCGCGCGGTATCCTCCCTAACTACTGCTGACGGACCCCATCAGTAATTCTAGGGTTAACTTTATATCAAAAGCTGGCGGGCATCATCAGTAATTCTCGGGTTAACTTTATATTAACACGTCCCTCAGGAGCCGAGAGGTGTCTTTACACTACAAGTTGTTGAATATTAAAAGTAAGTTCAATACGAAAACTCCCAAAGAGGGTGTTTTGGACGTATCGTTTCGAGACAAGTTTTCGTTCGTTAAATGATAAATATTTAGGTTAAATACAACATCCTCAAGTCTCCATACTAGCTAGTACTAAAGTATACCCGCTGGGAATAAATTTAGTATATGTCAATAAAGCCACATTCTCGGCATCATTAATTAAGCAATTGCCAATCATTTATGCTTCTGCTATCACCTTTTTATATTTAGCTTTCAATTGAGATACGAACGATTTCACCTATGGTTCGGTAGGGAAGGTCGAAGCATCACGATAGTGAGTAATAGGATGAGTAGCCAGATACAATTTGATAACAGCTATAGGCAATAATATTGTACTCGGCTTGCTGCACAATATCTACCAAGGTGGTTTTAAAGGGTTCCTGATTACCTCTGCATGTCATTTGGAGACTTCCATGCTTCTTGTGCTTGGTCGTTAAGCTCGTGATGCGCTGACAGATTTCAGTCACTTTACCACTTCAAATCACTTTTCGCAGCCCCAACGCCAAAGGAGTGCGGGAAATGCCTTCTTTATAGCCAATAAAAATGTCCAAAAAGTTTCAGTTCAAATTTAGAAAGACCGGATTGGGTAGTTTTTTTTTAAACAAAAAATGTCCTCCACTGACTCGTGAGGGCCTATTAAAAACTGGCGGGCTCTATCAGTAATTCTAAGATTAATTTTATATCTCTCGTTTTTCACTTCCTCAGATAATCCAATTAATTTTAAGTTTATTGAAAAGTTGACACCGCCTAGAGAATCACAGTAGATTTGTTTGTAGTTGAGCATAAAGCTACACAATTGGCTATTTGTTCTTTGCCGGTTTCTAGCGTTGTAAGTTCACAGACATGCTGCTGTGGCCACAGTAGAAAAAGTATTGTGTTCGTTGCTTACTGTTATTTTTTTCATTGCAGGTTCCCAATAGTTATTGTTTTTATTTGTTTTGTTGTTGTTTTTTGCGATGATTCAAAAATATAGTTAGTTCAAAATTATTCTACGATAATTAATGTATGTTGACGTTACTGCCATATCCTTCAAACCTCTGACTAAATATTATCTCTGTTTGTTTGTACACAAAATTTATATTTCTTTTGTCCATTTCAACCTTCTCTCCACCTTAGAATCGACATGGAATAGTGGTTAACGTAATGGGCTGCGTATCAAAGGGTCTAGGGCTCTAAACGTGATGCTGCTGAACACGTTTCGCAGCTTCGGCTTGTTGTACAATCCAGTTATTCGGTTCAAATAACTGGACAAAGCCCTTGTAGTGGCGAGTAGTGTAAAATTAGGAACAGATATATCTTAAGAGTCTTTGACTTGGCCGTTTAGCCCATGTGCACATAAGGTGCCGCTCAGGTTGAAAACCCTAATCCAACAACCTTTCTCTCCCTGAATGCTACAGTTTTAATGGCACTGTGCTAACGAATAATAATTTTCTTACTGAAATCGTTTGCATCTAGTGCCTGCGTTATGAAGAACAAAGAAAAACCTATTTGTATTAACCTATTGTGTTGCTTTGTCCTTGGACCATGATAATAACTCACGCAACACTAACTCATTTAATGATCCATGAGTGATACAGAACCCTAACGTCAAGGTTGTGTTGGTTTAGTTCTAACTTCCATGTGTACACCTAAGTTGAAAGGCTTGCTGTCTTTTTTTTTCCCTCTCGAGATTATTTTCCCTTCATCACTAACATTGTATAAAAATACATAAATAATAAAGTTTGGTACGTGAATATTTGATTTTCTTATCACAATTTGTGATTGATTTCATTATGTAATTAAAAAAAATCTGTATTTACTTCTGTATTAACAAAGTTTAGTTAATATGTCTTTGTTTGCTATTCCCCACCCCTCCTTCAGTGTTAATTCTATAACAATTCTATTGGTTTTCTGCTTATATTCACAATAAATACCTTATTATTGAAACTTCCACTCTCGCTCTTCCCATTATATAACTTTATATAACATGTTATGCCATGTGGACCGTCACTTTTCTTTCCCAGTTGTTGATTCTGTCTGTAATATTTAATTCTTCCAATTCCTTTCGTCACAGCGTGTGTATTTCCAGTTATTTTTACAGAAACTATGATTTGTTATTCACTGACCATCCTCTTCCTATTCCGGAGATCTAGATCAAGAGCTATCAGTTAATAATCTGATATAACTTTAGTTTTAATTAGTTTAGGATGGCCATTTGGTACTCTGACTAATCAATAATTATCAATAATCTGACTTGACTTAACAACAATCTTAGTGAAGCTATTAGTAGGAATAAAACCAAATAGTAATGTGGCATAATAACAATCTGAATTAATCATTGAACAGTATCAATAAATCAAACAGAAATATGTTTTAGTTAGACAATACAGGTACGGAAGTATAAATGTCGTTAACACACGGAAATTAAGAAACTTGTTCTGGAATCCCTATGAAAGAGGTCCTTTTCAATTAATTTTTTTTCCGAGAAATAAGCCACTTGTTCCAGAAATCTCTCCAAAAATGTAGTTTTTGTTTCATTGTTTCGATATTACATATCACTTGTCCCAGAATCCTCATCAAAGATATGGGGTTTATCTCATTGTTTTGGAACTGTAAGGCACTTGTTCTATGGTTCTCACCAATAATGCGGGTTTATCTCATTTATTGGGACTCCTATTCCAGGGTTCTCACCCAGGATGCGTGTCTTATCTCATTGTTTTGTAAGTGTAGGACACTTGTTCCAGGGTCCTTAGCCAGGATGCAGGTTTTATTTCATTGTTTTGGAACTGTTGTTGTTGTTTATTAAGCACAAAGTTACACAAAGGGCTACCTGTGCTTTGCCCACCACGTTCTGGAACTGTAGGGCACTTGTACCAGAGTACTCACCAAGGATGTGGGTTTATTTCATTGTTTCAGAATTCCAGGACAAATGTTTCGGAGCCATCATCAAGGTTGTGAGTTATATTTCTTTGTTTGAAAGAAGTAAAACACTCTACTGTTCCTAAATTATATACCAGTGTTTTTTAATCTCCATCAAAGATGTAATTTTCATTTCTGAGTATAGAGGCCGCTTGTTGTTCTGACGTTTGACCAAAAACACATTCTCTTTTTACCCAATACACTTGTAATTAAAAAAATATCATGTAATAAAAAGAGAGTTGACCTTAGAAAGATATCAATTGACGAATTTCTTCTTTGGTTAGCTGCAAAGGTCATGATGAATAGCTTTTGGAATGCCGTAATTGATTTATTTTATGGTGTGTATGACAAACAAGGACACACACACACATTATATATATATATATATGCAGATAGATGTGTGAGTGCGTGTGTATACAGCCTTGACTGTGTTGAGTTGTTTTGTTTGTGATGTGTGCTTATGTTATCATGTGTGATTAGAAAGATGCAGACCCTTCAGCAGAAAGTTGGAAGATCCATTCCTGATTCTGTTTTCACGATAATTAGTGGAACCTACCATTTTATCTTCGCTCTTTCACATTCTTTCACGTGAGTGTTTAACAAATGACCTCTAAAAAAATAGAACTGACCAGATGCTTCGGGATTCATCAGGAAGTAATATTGAAGGTTCTTCTGAAGTGTTCTTGATAAGCGTCATTTGCAGAGATAAAAAAGTCACAACAAGTTGTAAGAAACAACAAAAAACGTTCTTCCATATTTATTGCAGTGTACGTAGTATAAAGATAGTAAAGACTCATGCTTCAGCTCCGAAATGATTTATATTCTCACTTAATAGCCTGGCGGAGATAGTAGAAAACACTCACTTTCCTAAAGACTTTCACGTGTAAGCTACATGTCAGGGCGCCATCTGCTGGGCTAAGACGGGTTCAGAGTGATGTATGAAAGACGTATCTGTCAGTTGATATCCACAGGCTAACGCGTAATGGGGTGATACAAAATCGTGCTGAAACACTGATGTTAGACCCCAGTGGCATACCAATTGATCATTACCAGCGGCCTGAGGCAACATGGCTTACTGTCACGTGAGTTGTTTTTCTTGTTTGAATAATTTATATGAAATGAACGTTCGCAAATGCTGAAATCTTGAGTGTTTAGAAATTATTATCGGGGTGAATTTAGTTATTGAATTTAGTTTTCTCATTTTCTAGTTTTTAGTGTTAGTTTTATAGTACTTTATAAAATTAATTTTAAATTGAAGTTAAGAGTTTTTTGTGATTAAATCATATCTGTATTTCAGTATCATGTCATGAAACATATCTAAAGTAATGTCTTTTATAGGAAAACGACTATATTTTACTAAAACATTATCTAATGCTTTTCCAGCATCATTTTAGTTGAGTCCTACCTGTTATTCTAAATCATTAGTGTTAAAAAATAGTCCGTTTTATTATAATTGTTTGTTTGTTTGAAGTTAAGCACAAAGCTGCACAATGGGCTATATGTGCTCTGCCCACCACGAGTATCGAGACTCTGTTTCTAGCATTGTAAGTCCGCAGACATACCGCTGTGCCACTGGGGAGACGTTTTATTATAAAAGACATTTCCATGTAATGTTTAAAACTAAAACATTCTTCATCGAGAAGGTTTGGCCATTGTGGTTGACCTTCTTGTAAATATTTTTAGTACAAAGAAGATTAAATATATCACTGTTTTTGGATACCGCCAGTTATTTAGACATGTATTACATTAAAAAAAACACACATTAAAACCCTGGAGCGTTTGATAGATGACTCTTCTACAAATGTAAAGATTGAATAAGACAGATCTACCTGTGGAAATCGCTAGAGTTTGTTTGTTGTTAAGCGCAAAATTATCTGAGCTGTGCCCATTGCAGGATCGAACCTCGAATGTTAGCGTTATAAGATCCCAACTTACCGCTGAGCTACCAAGGGCCAAAGCGCTAGGATTTTGCTGTTGTTTTCTTGGTTCCAAGCTAGAGAATGGCCTATTTGTATTTTGTCCACCATGTGGAATCGACTCCCTGATTTCAGAATTTTTTTCCGTAAACATACCGACAACCCACCAAAGAACGCTAGACTTTTATTGTTTTTGTATATTGTAATTTACCAATATTTTTGTTTACGTGGTTTTTACTATCGTGAACGTATACACGTACCAATTATTTTAGCTTTTTCTTACGTACATCCACTTCTTCCCTCTTATAAAAATTCTGTGCAAGCCCAAAAATAATTAAAATTCTGTCTCTTAGCAACATATAATGGAATTGATTATTAACAACATGAAAAATCTAATCTCTTACCAAAATAAAAAGAAACACCCGAGTTTCTTAACTGCCAGTATATGAAATAAATAAGAATAAAAAGAACTAAATTTGAATACTGCCACACTTGCATTTTAATATTATTCGCATTATTAAATCTCTATAACAATAATATTGCAAGCTAGAAACAGTCACACAGTATTGTTTGTTGAATTTGAAACAAAGGTGTTTCAAGACTATCTGCACTAGCCGCCCTTAATGTTAAAGTGATAGAAAAAGTGGGAAGGTAGCTAATCAACAGCACTTACCGCCAACTCTGAGGCTAATCTTAACTAACGAAAAGTGAGATTAACCATTAGATTATAACGTCCCCACGGTTGGAAAGGCCATATTCGGTGATGTGATTCGAACCTAATTACCAGGCCATGTCAGGTCTATCGAAGTAGAAACGTGTACAGTGGTTTTTAATATCAGAAATTAAAATTTCTAGTATCTACGTTTTTTCGTAAGTTTTTTTTTGGGGGGGGGATAGCGAGCCTAATCACTCTGAAATTTTAACTCGAGGTTCCTTGGTTTCTCCAGTTTCGTTTGAAAATGTATGTACCACCTCATACCTGTTTGACAAATTAATCCATAAATTTAACTAAACCAGATACTTTCTTTTCACTCGGTAGGTGGGGTATCAGCTGTGGGCTGAGAAGCCTAACGTGTTTCCGGGGAAACTGTCTAGTAAAATCAAAAGAAAAGTACAGTAAAATATATTATTAAAATAAGTTTTCGTTCTATCTTCTCTTTTCTCTTCGCTGTCATGCGTTTTCCGTTAAAGTAAACGTTGAAAGAATCAATAAGACATCAATGTACATGAGAGTTCACGTATACTCTATTTCCGCATTCATTATGAAGATTAACATAAAAGAATTGAACGTATCGTTTCTTCTAATTTCATGTGCTGACGTTAAACACAGGAAACGTATCCTTTTCCCATTAATTTAATACCTAAAAAGATCTACTCGGATTGATAGGTTGACCCTGTCACATGTATACCACGTGAAGTACGTAATCTCAATGTTTAATACATAACATCAATAGATGAATGCATTTAGGACACGTTATATCATATATTATTGCTCACCATGTTAGAATTCATTTGTTTGTTTGTCCGCGAACTCCTCCCATACATTTGGAGCTAACAGGACCAAACTTAACAGGCAGATTTGGGGTTGCCTAGGAGTGTCCTTATCTACATGGTGTAGCACCCTACCAAAGGGGAGTGGTGGTAAGAGATATTTATAATGCACCCGTATAAATCACTCAGTCCATGAAGAGGGTCTAGGATTAAATTTTCAGGCTTAGTGATCCCGAACCTGGCAAGGTATGTTGTGTTCAAGCCCTCATCTGTATACCGGGGGCACCATGTTTGGAACTATGTTAATAATTCCGTTCACAAGCTATTAGGACTGCATTGCTAACGGGTTTTTTTTTTCAGGTAAGGGCCTTCATTGTGGAAGCCATAGAAGTAATTGGGGATAACGGAAGAGTTTGATAGGTACATTGGAGCCTCTGTAATATGAGGAAGCTTTTGAACCCCGCACTTACTTTATGATCTATCTACACATATATTAGGTCGTCAATAAGTTAATGTCGCTTTTTTTTTAATGGAAAAACCCGAACAACTTATATATTAAAACAAAACACTTATTAAATGAAATAGTCTCCATTCTTATCGATGATCGTTTTTCATTTTACAATCAGGTTGTTAATGCCCTGATTAAAGCAATCACTTGGCTTTGAAGCAAAAAAAACATGTCAATGT